ATGACCTAACGATGTCTCGCTATATACTGCTTCGTGTGGCCGAAGACCTACATATAGACGTGTCGTTTGATCCCAAACCGGTGGCCGGTTGGATGGGTAACGGCGCGCACACCAACTTCAGTACTGAGGCTATGAGAGCCCCGGGAGGTCTGCCCGAGATTAAGAAAGCGATTGAAAAGTTGAGCAAAAATCATGCGAAACATATGCGAGTGTATGACCCGCTCGGGGGTCGGGATAACACCCGGCGATTGACGGGACAGTACTATTCGTCCAAAATGGATGAGTTCACGTCGGGTGAGGCCGATAAAGGGGTCAGCGTTAGGATACCGATGCACGTGATTAAAGCGGGAAAAGGCCATTTTGAGGACAGACGTCCCGCTGCTAATTGTGACCCATATTTAGTGACTGAGGCTATGGTCCGCACGTGTTGTTTGAATGAGTAGTGGTTATCGACATAATAGATATTTGATATAAATATCCCCGATATGTTTGTCATGTTATTAATATTTAAGATAATTTTAGTTGTTTTTGGAAATATGTTTATTATAACAGAAGTACTACCGGTAATAGAAAAATATTTTTACACATAACTATAATTTATAAAATAAAATTATTTGATTCGGAACATTTTAACAGTATGTTAAATATTTAGTTTTCTAATAAGGGATCATTCAATAAGTACGTACGCACTGGATGGGGGGGTCAATTTTTAGACAAATTTTTGCGTACGTACTTATTGAATGGCCCCTAAGTGCGAAAATAAATGTTCAATTATACGAATAAAGAGTAGTGGTGACTATCAAATTAATTGTTCTGGTTCATGTTCATAGTTTGTCATCGCTAATTCTTGAACACGTCGAGTACGCATTGCTGTAACATGTATCAATATGAAATCAGTATCATTACGAATGATAATAAAATGTACATACATAAGTTTTAGCTTTAACCGCTTCATCTTGTGACTTGTCTATACGACCTTGCTCATTCATTAAATCTTTATTATCGACAAACACTTTGACCAAACAATTGAAAAACTCTTTATCGCAATACATAATCAATGCTTGCTTGCGCACCATAACCGTCTGATCCACTTTGGTGTAGGCGCTCACATTAGCTTTATTTGAGCAATCAGTTAGTTTGGTTTCGAGCTATTAATGTAAAATTAACATGCTTAAATGAAAATGAAAATTTTTCCGCGACAATAGCAGGGTATTAGTTATAAATAGTTTGACAAACTTTCTTAGCAAACGCTATCCCTTCAGCCGTTATGTTGTGTTTGTGTTCGCATTCAATCACTTTATCCACAATAGCTGTGTCCGTCTTATTGGGGACACACAGTAGTGATTGAATTTTGTGTAACCTTTCCAGATCATTTTCAGCCACACAATTAAGCCAGTAATTGTTGACGACTATAAACATGAACGATAATACTATTAAAATGTGTCTCATTTTGAGTGAATTTAATTATAACGATGTTTAACTTTTATTAAAAGTATAAAATAAATTATATTAAATTATAAAAATGCACAATTTAATATGGTTGGCAAAATAAAATTATTTTGTATTTATGTATTATTTAATCGTATTTATAAGTGAATTGTATGGACTATTTTACTAATTACTAATTAAATATCTTTAAAACTCAAATTTCTGATTACAATATAAATGTATTGAGTAAATAGTTGAGCAAATGAATTAGTTTATTTATTCATTACATGATTGTTACCAAATCAATTGGTAAGCCATTACAGCATTGTATTATAATTTAATATTAATGATTTATTGGATCAGGTTTAAATAATTAAACACAATATTAAATACTAATCAGTGAATTATATTATATAAAATAAATTAAATAAATCAAAACAAAAAATAAATTATAGTTTTTAATTTTAATTTGTCTAG